AGATTAATCAATCATGAAAATAATCACTGGTTCAGCCGTAATGAAATCATATAGAGACAATCAATTGTCTGATATGCCAAAATTATACTCACAAAATATGTGCTTACCAATAACATAAGTTCATTAGTGTCAAATACACTTATTCCTTATCTATATGTGTTTTTTCCGGTTCATTTGATGCTAAAATTTGATCCACAGTCTTGACATTAATGCACAATTGTAATAGAAAATGTTTTCACAAAGCTAAATGTGTATGACAAATGTGATTCAGCTTAAAGTTCTTAAGCTCTGTTGCAAAAAAATAATACAAAAACACTCTAAGGTCGTCTGCATTCACATTTCATAAAATGTCAAAATGCAGGACAGAAATGGCACTAAGCTTTCTCCGTTAAAACTCATTTGGATCTCGTTGTCGGAACAACAGCCCTTCGTTCTGCTGTGAGCGACATCAGCTTCTAAATGAAGGTGTAAAGTCCCTCTCTATGTCACAGTCAAAGGTCATTGGGAGAGATCCACAACTTTCACTGCCAGGTTACACTGCATCAGTGGCAATCACATTGTTACACTATTTACAGACGAATAGCACAAACTGACAGCCCAAACACCCACTGAGTATATTGCTACCTTATGGACAGAGGTGTCTGTTTCATTATTTTTTTGTATTTTTCTTCTTTCTTTTTTTTTTTTTACAAAGGAAAACTACAACTGCATGACTGCCCATCCTGAACTGGTTGTACTTCCCAGAACTGATCCAGTATGGGCTGCCAGGCTTAAAACTACAATTCCCAGGCACTTGATTGTAACAAAATGTACACTAAAGTTGTCCACTGGGTCAGCATGCCTCTGATGCACAGAGAGAAGGCAGCAACATTCAAGGTCAGACCCAAAACACAAAAGCCCTCGACCTCCCACACAAATAAAACGACAAGCATCCTCAGCATGCATATCAAAGTTATAGTACTCTTGTGATATACTGTACATCGACAAATTAGCTAGTGGTTGGTACTTGCATTTACACACTAACACATGCTGCTAGACCTCTGTGCAATGCTACAGTAAGGTGACTGACACACAACTTTAAGTCGAACTAAGAGAAACTGACTTTCAACTGAATACCGAAAAGAAAAACCCTGCAAATAAATAAGACTATATTACAATTATGGCAGATGGAAAGGTGTGGAAAAGGAGCAGAACAAGAATGAGGTAGAGACAGTGATTTGCCACTAGAGGAAGTGAGAAAATTTAACTCTCAGGAAATGTGTAGGGGGGAAAAAAGCAAGACGAATGAGGCAATGTGCAAGAGAAAAAAAGTCGAAGAGTGAAAGACGGAGTGTCAGGTACGGGTCGTTTGCTCGATAGCTCGGGTCAGTTGGATTTGGACGGTTGGCTGCATCTTCACATCCGCAAACGGTGGTGGGGGTCCGTAAAGGGCGGCTCAGAGTCATCCATGGGCAGCACCAGACGCGTGCCTCTCATCACCAGCTCATGATCCCCGTACGTCAACTCTCTGTCCAAGTCATCAGAGGTGGCGCCGCCAGCAAAGGCTGGGCCGCTACTGGTGTGAGCACCAGAGGCGTCTGTACTGACTGTGATGTCGCCGTAGGTCAGGTTGATATCGCCGTCTGTCAGGATGAGGTCAGAGTCGTCATCCTTCAGTTGGCACTCGTTCTGGTGAGAAGGAAGAGGAATGTTGTCAGATACGCACACAGACTAGGATAAAGAAGTGACTTAATTAGCAAGCCTTTTACCAATTAAAGGTTGTAACTCTGGTTGGTGCTTATTATTGTTTCCTCACCTGCCCAAATCTTTCAAATTAAACCTCTGTGCTTACAATAAAAATAACTTTTTTAAACTAAACAAACATAGCTGAGCCAGAAATAGCTCCTGTATGAACCAGCGGCTGACCTCATAGGCCTGAGGGCTGGTGAGGAAGCGGGCGAGGGGGCCGCAGCAGGGAGGCAGCGTAGCTGTGAGAGGGGGGCCGCTGTGAGTCAGGATGGGCTTCAGATAGCTGGAGAAGGGGCTCGAGTCAAGGACATAAGAGCATGGAAAACAAGCACTGAGAGAGTGGTGAGACACAGCAAACAACAACAATTCAACAAAGTGTGATTAATGAGAGCAAACTAATTGAATTAAAATACAATTAAAATGTTTCTTGTTTTGTCAAGTCAAAAGGGCAAAATTTTTAAAATATAATTTATGTGAAAATACATGAAACTTAATGACCGTCACACTACACAGCCAATAAAAGAGATCATTTGTCTTCAAGTCTATACATGGTGCTCCCTCTGCTGTCTCACTCTGGAACATGTGTGATGCCACAGTCGTCTGGCAGCCTTCATTCATCCTTTATCCAACCTACAGAGGTTTTGTAGTTTTTGAATTAGCAGCTTTTAATACTCACCCAGGTTTCTTAATTCTATTCTTGTGTTTGTAACTTTGTAATTTCGCTGTTAATGTTATATTTTGTTCTTTTAACTATTTATTTTTAGTTTCTGTGTCAGAAGTGCATCTCATAATAGCTTAAAAGTTTTAAGCACAGACAATTGAAAAAAATGTTTTTGTTCTTGACATTTATGACATTGACAAAAAGTAATTATTTGTGAGCAAAGGATACTTGTGGTCAAAGTTGTACCAAATTCTGAAAAGCCAGGCACTTTCATGTTTGGTGCTTCTTCTCTCTGAGCCATCAGCAATACTCATCTGTGCAAACAGAAATATGTTGTTCAGATGTTTTATTACAGTTATTGTATGCCACATTAGAGTAATAGGTAGTTTACAAGGGCAACACTTACAGAGTTATCTTGATCAGAGTCCACTCCCACTCTGTTGAAGACAAAAAAACACATGTAAATCAGCTGCATTTATAAACCGTCAGAGCAGAACAGTTCTGTGAAGCATGTTTCCCCCGTTCCTGAACAGCAAGGTTCCATGTAAAGGTGGGCATACTATGAAAAAAACGCCTCAAACATTCACCAGAGCAGGGTCACAGGTTGTATTGAATGTTTCTTGGAGATTTAACCCGATAGAAGAACCTGATTAGTCAAACATGGGGGCCATAAAGACAATTAGTCAGTTTCTGTGACATTATCTGAAATAGCCTGATGTCAAACCCCTCCAGTGTTAAAACAACTGCAGATCTAGTTGGACCCAGGAGTGGATTCGACAGGTACCTTATGCGCTGGCAGGACAGCATCTGGGTGGTGCCACCTCCACAAATCCAAACAGTGAAGAAGACCACAAGCAGAGTGGTGGAAAACATCATCTGACGGGCGTATGTTGCCGTGTCCCTGATGGACAGGGCAAAGGTCATCGCGCCTCGCAGTCCTGAAGAGCACAGCATGGGGAATGTTACACACAAACAAGTGAGCAAGTTCCTATTCAAGACAAATTAGATGATCTCTGTTTACAAGCCTGTCTGGGTTATCTTGTAATCTATGAAGAGGCCTAAAAGCCTAAATTCTTTCCAAAGTCGTATTCTTAACTCAACACTAACCCGCAAACATCATCATGTGCTGGAAGTTGGATCTGATCTTGTTGCGTCGTCCCAGATTAAGAAGGAAATGAGAGAAAGGGTAGATGTTAGCAGCTCTTCCCAGGAACACTGCCACCTGGGAGGGAACGAGGTTAAGGAGAGGACAACAAAACAGAGCGCCCTATCTGTGCCAACCTTATTTACTGCTCCTTTAAATCAATTACCGTTCACTTATCTGTGCTTATTTATAATGTCTTTTCTCTGGAAACCGAAATTAGTGGCAGTTCCATATTCGTACGCTGATATTACCTAACTGACTTCACATGTGAGTGAAAACAGTCACTGTTGAGGGTTATCGGGCTTTGCGTGCCCCGTTTGCAAAAGATACAAAAGCTCCGACGATGAACATGGGGTTAAAGACGTGGTTCTGGAAGGTGAACAGGGTCAGACCCATGTAGGAGAAAATGAAGTTCTCTGCCAGGAAATTTAGCAGTTCAAACAGCTGCAACAAAGGAGAAACAACATTAACTGATTTAGATAACAGCAATGTTAGTGGATGTACAGCTTAACACAAAGAGATTACAAAGTTACCAGGAAACAAATTCATCTGCTTGATACACTTGGCTTGCATGTTTGACTAAAATCAAACCTTAAAAACTACATTTTCAGAGCCTGTATAAATGCATGTCACAAATGTCATTTTGTTTCATTATTCTATCCTTGAAGAGGTACTCCACACTTAAACGTGATGAGAAATATCAATGCTGGTGTTAATACTGACACCCTCACCAAATTATGAAAACTGGCATTTCATGGGTTGAAAATGGCTCAGCACACCATCTGCTGTCTTAAATCATCATGAACCTTGCAAGGCCAATGCTGAGATGCTTTTGCTAACCCTCTACTTAGTGTTTTTCCAGCCTGCCATCCTTCGGTCATGACAAGAGTCAGACAACTGTCCACACGTAGGGTTCAGGTGAAACCAGCTGAAGAAAGAGAAATCAGTCTGATCAGCTAACATTGCTGTTTCTGCATGTTCACTCACAGCGGAGGATGTATAGGCGTTATCGTGTGTACAAGGCATTAGTCGTGTTGACGTTAACAATACAAGGACGTGCAAAAGCAACCACCAACCAAATGTAAAGACAGACACACCCTGTGAGGAACCTGTCAGTTTTATTTTTAGTTTTGGTGGCTGTTTCTTAATTGTGAAAGTTACACTTTGGAGAAAAATAGGCACGTACTGCTCTGCAGGCCAGTCTTCATGTGGTTGGAGACTTTAATTTGTCTGCCACCAGAAAGTGTGGTCTCTAACACAGGTTAGAACGAAGTGCAAGCTCACTGGCTCACCTCACTGACATTTTTTTTTTTTAAGGTTTTTTGCAAATTAGACAGAACAGGTGAAACAAGACAAGACAGACCTTATACAGTGTGTGATCAAAGACAAAGGGAACAACCCGTTCCCCAACTGAACAGTCTCCCCAGACCAAATTGGAAGAGAGCTGTTTGTGTGAGGAAAGCGTTTTCTTTTTCCTATATCAGCCTCTGAAACACAAACATTAAGAAAAGAAATTTAATCATGTCTAAGAATTGACTTTACCTCCACAAACAAACATCTAGTCAGCTAATTGACGATTGCATTTGGTATGGAACAGTATTATGTAATAATTCGACAAAATGTATAGATTTCACTTCATTATGTAATAACACCGGCATTTTGTGATAACTGGCCTGATGTATATATGTATGTAAAACCGGTTGCTCTCATATATTTATATGTAAAATGATATTATTGTTGGTGGCTAAATGATGATAACGTGTGGTTCGTATTAGGCAATCATTCTGATCTATGAACTGCGTCAGCATCTTGAAGCTAAGTCTGTATTATATAACTAGCGCCTACTAGTGCTCGAGTGGGAACCGGTGCTCAGCTCCAGGTAGCCTCACGTCGCGGCTGGTTATCCCTGGAGTGTTGGCCTGTGAGATTGGTGTAGGTAGGTGGTGTGGAAATGCACAGCTAGACAATCATCTGTCCCTTGAGATCATGGGTGACGTCTCTACTAAACACAGTAAGCTTTTGGATGGTATTTACGAGACGTTAAAGAGTACCATGTAGTGCTAATCTACTCTAGTACTTCTCTAGACTTGGGGCGGATAATAAGGAAGTGCGTAAGTGGTATAAAATTTGGGGTTTTTTAAAGTTCCAATCTAGGGTTGACTATATTAAAGCTGTTTATATAGGTAATAAATATTTAGCTACCTTTAAAGTTGGAACAATTCATAAATATAAACAAATTAATAACTTAATGTAAGTTATGACGTCAGTTGTATTTTATAGGCTGGTTAATTCACGGATCCCCGATCGTCGCACCATAGAACTCGGGCGCTAGTACAAGTGTCACTTATTACTTTGTTTTCATCAAGTGCAACGCTCATAGCTGGTTTGAATATAGACATGATCCCACACATCTCATTCTGCGAGCATCACAGACATTATGAATTACTGCATATCTTCACAGTTGTAGTAATTTCTGCATGTTTGTTACCAAGACAAAGGTAGCAACCGCGCCTTCGTCTTGTCTCCGAACGTGTACTGTGTAAATCAGTGAAGTTAGCCACTTAAAAGAAGGGAGGACTGTTGATCCGCGTTGTGTAGTCAGTTTATTTGAATAAAGACATGTTCACATGCATAGTATAGAACATCCCGAATTCTATGGATATCAAAATGTGGTCAGGATATCCCGACATAGTCCATTCTTTTCTATAATCGTAATCCCGAGTGAAAACTTCGAGTTCACATCCTTGCAGTCTTGCAGTTTCACATGTGGAGTTTCCAAGACATCAGTAAATTTATTAACACACTCATACAACCTCCAGCAGACTCGTGAAGATATCAGGTCAGACTTGCTCATCGTCTACTATATTGAAAAACGTGGAGCTAGAATTATAAAATCTGTTATTTCAAGGTCTTTCAAATGAGAGAGTTTCAAGTGCTAACAACCAACTTGGCTGATTGACCTTCCTGTCATTCAAGCATCCCCAACTGTTGATCTTGCTTCACCTTTTAGTATTCTGTACTAACATAGGATACAGTATAATCCAACGAATTCTCGGCGAAGCCCCTCACTGTCACCATCTGAGCACCTGGCTCTCGAGTTTACATTAGTGAGAGCATCCCCTATTCTTCTCTGAAGCGGGATACTTTGATGGCAAAGATCAGGCTGTAGACGCAGACTCTGGATACAATGCGCTGCTTTCTATCACCTGTCTGAGCCCAAAGGAAACAACTCTTCCGCATCGGACCAGCACCCGGAGAGATCCGGACTAAAGGAGAATGAGTGACAATGACCTGAAAGGCTCACCCCTTGGTGGGTTCTGGTTTTGATAACGGAGAACCCTCCCTGTCAGCTACTTGTTATTGAGTGGGTGGTAAAAGCACAGCGTGACATCCAGACTCCGGTTCAGACATGGCCCATAAAGGAGGAGAAGCTTCTCTGATTTAAGGACTGTAATCTGCTGTCGCCTGTGTCGGTGTCAGTGATCCTTTCTGTGAGCCTTCATCAGTTTAATAGCTTCAAATGCCACAGACAAGACAGTTTCAGGCAGGTACAGCGCCCCAATGATCACCACCCACCCTGACGGGACTGGCTTACTCTAAGTCACTCAGCAGTGATGGTGTTTAAGCTCAGACACGTTGAAGAGTGAGCGTATGGTTTTCCCCGCCCTTTTCGCCTGTAGATGGTGAGCGATCAGTATTAACGAGGAGCACGTTTACCAGAACTCAGACGTTGCCAACAAAGAAAAGGTAAGAAAAGTAAATAAAAAGCAACTTGTCTCAGTTAATATGATTGACTGCCGGAGAACTGAGGCTGAAAGCATTGTGTGGTTTTTTTTTTTGTTTTTATATAAAAGAGGTTAAATTACTTCGTAATAACTTTCTACTATATATATAAATGTGTGTTTTGGCTTTGAAATAAGCAGTAGTACATGAACCAGAGTAAAGACAGTTTTTGAAGTTCATAACCGCAGAACAATACAGAAAGTTGTGTCATTGCCGTGTCTGATATGGAGTCCGAGGAGTGCAACGCGAAAAGCTATATAGTAAAAATGTTACTGTCTTGTCCATAGTTGATTTTAGCGAAATATGTTTTACCTGATGAAAGATGTAGTCTGTTTCATCCACATTTAAGGAAGATATTTTAATGGCTGTACTCTATTTTATTTGGCTTTCCTTAATTTCCATTGCTCTTTTTCCTTGTGGATATGGGAAATGAAGCTATTTTATTTGCTATTAACCGTTTCAGCTTTTTCTGTAACTTTTAGGTATTTTAATTTTTAACCTTAATTCCACATCGTATTTTTACTTGAGAGCTTCCTAACCGACGGTATCAAATAACGGGTGAAGACTACTGTATTCAGAAAAGTGATAGAAAAGGACAGGAAAGAAAAGGAAAAAAATTAGATAATGGTATAAATATTGAGACAAACTAATCTGATGAAAAAATATTTAGACAACCAATCTGATATCATCCTTCTACATATATATAATGGTGATCTGTTGGCCTTAACGAAGGTGTAGATGAAGACAGCGAATCTGTATTGTAGCCGCTGTGTATTATGAAAATGGCTCCATTTCCCACAGTTGGTTAGTGCATGTGCGGTTGGGCTAATCGCTAGTGTGTATTGGCATTAATACGCGTAACGTGCTCGGATCGAAACGGGGACAACTGGTAGACTGTGCAGATACCTCCCAAGTTACCATGAGATGTACTGTCCTCTGGCTGTTCTACAGAGCAGTGCTACATACAGTATGTAGAGCTGATTTGCCTGTGTGACAGGATGCCAGTAAAACAACTGCTCTCTGCTTATCGTTACTCCTTCTCCCTCCAGAAGACACAGTTGATAGAGTACATAGACGTCCCTCCATAGACTCTCTTGTGCTCTCGGTCCAAAGAGACCCACTGCTAGAGGATAGTATGCAAAACGACGGGTTGGAAACACTCTCCTGCGCTCAGGCACATGTGGAGGTCGTGACATGTCTGACAATGTTTGCAAGTAAGACCTTAGAATTCTGCGGGTAAGGGACTTCCATGAGTTGACTTTGCTATTCAGACCTGGAGTAGTAGGTTATGGTTGGATCAGCTGTGATTTGATGGACCTGTTCTAGATCCTCTTTCAGGTTTTTACTGCTATATTATAGCAGAATTGGTAGTAACAGTTTGGTCGGCTCTTCATAAGCACGAACTCCTCCCTTTTTGTGCGCAAATTTGATATCCATCTATGATTGGTCTCCTGGGTAGATCAGTAGCTGATTTGATTGCTGGAAAGCGACAGAGAGACATGGACATGCCAACGTCTCTCGAACCTAGTATATCCGTTAATCAGTCATGGGTAACTTTTCCCTCTCTGCGGGCTGCGGGGAGAGACTATCAGATCTCTTGTTTGTATATGGGATATAGAGTTGACAACCATCCCAGCACAAACGGGCTATGCTAGAGTCTC